CTAGTAGTAGTAGTTGATGTGGTTCTTGGAGTTGTGCTAGTAGTAGGTGATGTAGCTGTTCGAGTTGTACTTGTAGTAGTTGATGTGGTTGTTCGAGTTGTACCTGTAGTAGTAGTTGTTGGAATTATGCTAGTAGTAGTAGTTGATGTAGTTCTTTGAGTTGTACTGCGAGTACTTGATGTAGTTGTTCGGGTTGTACTGCGAGTACTTGATGTAGTTGTTATTCTAAGAAAGAAGATAAAAAAGAATTGTATAGAATAGTGAGAAAGTCTTGATAAATATTCTTTTATACTTTGTGCTTGTTAATGTTGACAATATTTTATTTGATATTGGGGAGATGAGTACACGCACCCTATGTAACACAAACATTATAGGTTTACATGCTGAAAAAACGATGAATAATTTTCATCTGTTAATTTGACTTACTGAATAGAATCAAGACATGTTCCATTAAGAATTCCTTTATTCAATTCACAATTAGGATATTGTTGACGGCAAGCATCAAGACATTTATTTATTTGACAATTATCTGTTATTATTGTAACTGAATTGAATTGTACTATGTCACATATTGTCTGTATCGTTGTCGTACAACAAGTACATTGACACTCGAAGCTAACTGCACTTGTATTAATGAAATTGATAAAGAATAAAACATTAAGAATTGTATACTGACACAATAGAAAATTCATGATAAACTCTAAAAATTGAGAATATTTTTTTTTTGTACTTATAAAATGTTAGACTAGACGTTTATTCGTCCTCTTTTATATGGATATTGTACGAGATTTAAAAGAATACTATCGTCATTTACTGGTTCATACGCAAGAATACACCTACACTTCTACTGTCATCTGAGAATATATACTTTATGATTTATTCTGTAATCCTAACATTGATATACGAAAGTTTGGTTTTCAGTTTGCACGTCAGATTAGCAATGTAAGTATTGATTCATATTAAAAATTATAGTGATGAAATTACAATTTACGTATATTCGTGTTATTTGATTCTTCTGATAAGTGTGTGAAATTTTGCCAACCGACGTCATACGCGTACACATGAATCACATAATGTATTTGATCCTACTCAATTAAATCAACATGAAATTACTTTATTAATTTATTTCTATTTTCATGTTTAATAAGTTTAATTTAGTAAATAATATTCATTTTCAAAAGAAGAATACATTTTCTTCATATAATAATCATTAAATTTTTATCTATCTACAGATGATATAATATGTTTATCAATAAAAAAATTTCTCATCATGAATTAGTCAAACATATTTTTTTTTCGACGATAGCAGCAGGAGAAAATATTTACATATAGAAACTGACATCCATTGATATAGCCATTTTTTTCATAAATAAATACTTGTTAACTTGTCCTTATCGATAAATCATCAGCAGTAACTTTAAAATATTTCTCGAATAAATAAAGAGAATACAATCATCTTCAAAAAAATTAAACTGAAAACTTCGATGAACTCATTGTTCTTCTTCTAACCGATGCTAGTATTATAAACAATCTCTCAATACTCATCAATTGTACATGACAAAAAGAGTTTTCAAATAATTCTTCTTATTTCTTTTTGAAAATAAATATAGAAGAAACGATCCACGTCAAAAATTATAGCATTTCTAGTCTATATAGTAACGGTGAGGTTAGTATTACTTTTCAATTTAGGTAGAACAGGTATATATTTTTTAAAAGAAATTATGCATATTATTATAACACAAAACTGATTTCATAAAATAAATGATAATGCTGTTTTAATGAATTGTTAAATATGGTGTAATAGATTCACATATGATTCCTAAATATATTGATATATTTTTCTCAACACGACAATAACATGGTATTAAATAACTCAGATAATCTAAATAGTATGAATGTAGTAACATAATTAACTGAATCCATCATATATATAGGAAGATATAAAATAATTATCTGATAGATTTAAAAGTCTTTTAATCAATCTCATATAAATATTGTTGTTATATTTGCATCATTCAATTTTCTTTGATCTTATAACGAATACTTGTAATGCAAAAATAACAGTCTTTCAGTGACCTCTATTTATTAAGCATGCTACATATCTGATTGATAGAATACCTGCTGAACGAATAACCCTCTTACTTGTGTAAGACATGAGTATGAGACAGCATACTTCCTCGTTTACTTTTCTTGTATTAAATCGAAATAGTCACAATCAAGGATGTCATCAAATAAAGACGATGATCAAGAAGAACAGTCCTTCTTAAAACATGTTACATCTCATCTACCATTAGACTGGTCAGATGAACAACGTGATACTTATCTTCAGAATATATTAATTCAGTGGCGCAAACGTCGAGATCATTCACATGAAGAACAACGTCTTATGGAAAAATATTTAGCTACTATTAAGCAATATTTTAGACCACAATCACCTGAATTATATGATTTTCAACAATGGCCTATAGATCAAAATCTTTTAAATATGATCAAATGTGATTCACTTGATACTGATATTGTTAAACAAGTAAGTTTACTTTCTTTGATATATGTTCTTCGTTGAAATTATTATATCATAGATGCAAACAACAGGTGTATATACTTTTTCATTTTTGCCTGTATCATTTTGTCAATTATTAATTAATGAAATAGTCTATTTTGAACAATGGTGTATTGATAATGGATTAAAATTGTATCGTCCTAATTCAATGAATAAATATGGTGTTATTCTTGATCATTTTGGATTTCAAAAATGTTTAAATGATGTCGTTACAAATATTGTAGAACCATTGACTCGATTGATTTATAGACATGTAACACTTCCACTTGATTCTCATCATGGTTTTGTCGTTGAATATGCGATGGACAAGTAAATAAACTCTTGCTTTAGTTTAAAATTATTTATTTTTTATTCTTTATATGTAGAGATAGAAAACTTGATTTTCATGTCGATGATTCTGCTGTAACATTAAATCTTTGTCTTGGAACAGACTTTACAGATGGTCAATTATATTTTGGTGGAGTGCGTTGTTCATCTCATACTGGTACAACTGCACCAAGACATGATGAAGAGTTTTATCTTGAACATCAAGTTGGTATGGCATGTCTCCATCTCGGTAATCATCGACATAAAGCATTACCTATTACTAATGGACGACGACTTAATCTTATTCTTTGGGTAAACTAGAACATAGCATTTTCAAAAGCATAAAAAATATTCTAAATTATATTTTTATTTAGTGTCGATCATCAAAATTTGATAGTGAAAAAGAGAAAAATGGTGAAGATACATGTCCAACTTGGTGTGGATATCATGAAATAGAAAATGTACATGATATTTAAAAATATTGTTTTATTTTTGTTAATAATCAAGAAAGAATTTTAAAAATTAAAGCAAACGTTCTTTTTTTTCATATTAAAATCAATTCGATTGCAAAGATTCATGATGAATATAACCACTAAAATTTGTTTGAATATGTAAAGATTGAACTTGAAAATATTTATTTATCATATCTTTAAATTTGTCGATTGTTTCCTGTTGTGAACAAACTAATTCTACGGTATCTATTGATGGTTTATTATCTGTAATTGATTTTTGCTCATGTGAAATTTGTACCACAACAGCAATTAATTGTCGACTTCCATTAGATTCTTCAAACGTTACACATGTTGCACAACTAACAAGTACATTCAATTGTTCATAAACATTTTTATCGCAGCCTGTACATACGATAAGAACTTGTTCATTTCCTTTGTCAGTTAAATTTCGATAAAAAAAGCCTTCTTGAAGAGGAATATAAGTAACATGTAAATAATTATCGAGTATATTTGCAGTTATTGATGATAATGGAATGTTGATATCATTTCTAATGCATAATTCTTTTCGACTTTTACCTGATGTAGCATTAAAAGCTTGTTGATAAAGTTTTGTAAATTCTGGATCACCTGAATGTTCGAGAAAGACTTGTTCATTAGCATATATTTCAGTAAAAATAAGTTTTGTCTTTGCTTCATTTGAATGTCGAAATATATATGTATATACTCCTGGATGATCACGATGAACAATATTAGCCATACCAGCTAACCGTTCAAGCATATTTGTAGCTGTTGATTCTGAACTTGCATCGAATTCAACATGTAATAAAAACGCCATGTTTTTTTTAAATTTCTTCTATCTATTTTATAAAAAAAAGTAACTGCTTAAATAGAATGCGATAACACATTGTTGGTTTTATGAGTCATCGGCACAACCTTGATCCATACCATACCATATAAGGTAACATAAATATGGATGTCTCATAGATTGTTAACAATAGTGAGTTAGCTGTTGTGATTACAAAATCTTCTAACCTTTTGAATAGTTGAAAAGATGTGAGGAAAGAAAAACAACCTCATGGTATTGGCTTTTGAATTTTAATAGAAAAAATAGTAGGCGAGAGCGGCAAAAGATAACAGATTAACACAATACTTATTGAAACTGAAAGAATGTGTATCCAATGAGATTTCACATTCGTACATATGCAGTATAGCTCGAAAGGTCGATTCTTTGATCAGTTAGGATTGTACTTATGATGGTGCTTTTTCATTAGAACAAATTTGTAGATGTTTTGAAAGTCCTCTATCTTTGTTTAGGAAAACTGTGAATAATCATGTACTCGAAAACATAAAAGTACTAATTAAGATACTGATAGACAGTTGTAATCAGTTAATATATATATTATTAAGATTATTTCTATGATGAATAGTTGTTAATACAGGAATAAAAATTTAGAAAATGACTTAAAACAGATACATTATAACATGGGATATATCCTATTATTTATTATAAAAACCAATCATCCATATGGTTATAACAAAACTAGAAGAAAACAATTAATTTTAGGTCTTTATGTGTCATTCATTAAATATTTTTAACATATGAATACCGTATATAACTAATAGTAATAATTATCAGTAGATTTAATTTAATAGATGCGGTTTTTCTCGATATATTTTCCAAATAAATTCACCAAATAAACTATTTGCCCAAGCAAACCAAGATCGTGTAAAATGTCTTGGATTATTGACATCTATTGATTCATGCATAAATCCTGTATTTGCATGAGATTTTTGTAACATTTTTATGCAAGATCGTATTTCTTCATCATCATTTGTTGTTAAACCACGCATGATAATTGCAAGTGGCCATGCCATTGAAGGTCCAACATGTGGTCCACCATTACCTTTTGAAAGAAAAATTAGACATTGAGAACACATATAAATGCTTACCTTCAAGTGCAGCTCCTTTAAAAAACCATGGATTATCTGTACTAAGTACAAATTTCCGTGTATTTTGATAAATTGAATGATTTTTTGGAATATCATTAGGACATAAATATGGTAACGAAAGAAGTGATGGAATATTTGAATCATCCATTAAATTTGTATGACCAAGTCCATCGGTTTCATATGAATAAATAAATCCATATTTAGTATGACTAACTGTAATTGATGTTTCTGAATTATTTGTCATTTTGTCATTAAATAAAATATCATGTAGAACAGAAGTTAAACTTAATATATCATTATTAAAATCAGCTGTCCATTCTAATTTTTTTACAAGTTCTAGTAAGAGATTCAATGTATGATGTGCAAAAAATTGCGATGGAATAAGATAAGGATATAGTTGTAAGTCATCACTTGGTCGAAAAAATGTATGAATAAGACCATTTGGTTTTGAATGACGTCCACGTGGATCTGTAGGATGACCTTGTCGTTGATATGTATATGGACCTTAATATATATAAGAAAGATTAAGTTTACAGTATGCTAAAAATTGTCAATATTGAGAAATCGTCAAAATGATAGATTTTTTCATTAAATCAAAGTATACTAAATATTTATTCTAGTATGTAAATGATTTGATAAGGGAACAACTTATTAATCAAAATATTGTTTTACCGAATCACACATGTGATTTATTAAGCGAGAGAAAAAGAAAAGAAAAAAAAACATTCATGATGTTTTGCATAAAATAATATTTATTTTCTATATAGATTCTGTTATATGCATTAGAAATGTTCTGATAATAAGAACTTGTTGAATAGATTATTTAGATGAAAATATTATCTTTTATTTAATTTCTATAAATTATCAAGAAATACTCCATATTCTTCTGTCGTAAGAAAGAAAAAATAATAAAAAAACTATACAAATACTTAAAATCAATGTAGATTTAAAGGCTAAAATCTGTAACATAAAACTCTATTGAAAAATTACTTTTGATGCACAAATGTTTTTTATATCATTTCATAATATCCGACTTATATACTTCTTTTACTTAAAAAGAATATTTACAAATCTAGATTCATTTAATCATAATTATTACATTTCTTCTACTATTTTAACTTATATAATAATGTATAAATATTTTCTTGTTTTATAAAAGACTTCAATAGAAGATGAATGTATTAAATTTCTTATTGTTCTATTTTACCTGATCCATTGAATCGTTGTTGTTCTTTCATCGTTTGTAAAATGATACGAATAGTTGTTTTAAATGTTTGTTCATTTTCACGAAAAAAAGTTAAATCATGATCAACTTCTTTCCAATATGAATGCATTAATCTTAGAACATAGCAAAGAGAATCTAATTCCCATTTTCGTTCATGCACACCGGGACGCATTTCTGTTAGATCCATTTGTTTCCATTCACTAGTACGACTCGTATCTTTATAATGTGCATTTGCATATGGGTCACGTTGAACAAACATACACTGTCGTAAGAGTACACCTTCAATCAATTGACGAAGTTTGGGATCATTACGTATTAAAGGTAGATATGGATTTACTTGAGCACTTGAATCACGTAACCACATGGCATCGATATCACCTGTAATAACATAAGTATCAGGATGTTTTTCAGATGCTGCTTTAACGTCGAAATCAACGGTTGTATCGAGTGTATTAGGAAAACAATTTTCAAATAACCATGCAAGTTCTTTATTTTTGATATTTTTTTTTTATTTCTTCAATTAATGATTCAACAGCTGTACTTGTAAATCGACGTTTTTCTATAGGTCGACGTACTTCAGGAAAATTAGGAGAAGCAGCAGTGGTAGATTTCGTAGTTATAACAGGATCAGTCATAGTAATAGTGGTAGTAATAGTTACTTTAGTACTTGCATTTATGATAGAAATTGCACGAACAGTCGGAACTGCATAATGTAGATCATGTGATTGATAATCAACAGGTGATGATGATGAACTTTGTTGAGAGAATAAATGTGTACATATTATAATGATAATGATGGCAATAAAAATTCCAATCAAAAGACGATTCCGTTGACGACGACGTAGTTGAAGCAAGGGTGACATCAATGCAACAAAACAGGAATGTGGAAGAGAAATTTTGTTCTTGCAGTCTTTACTATTTTCTGCGTGCACACATTACCAGTTGTTGTGTTCTTTTTTTTCTTTCTTTCAAAGCAAGTTTTTGTCGTTTCTTTTTCTTCTTACCGGTAAAATGAAATACAATATGTTGCTATGCAGGATTGATTAAAGCATTTTTAAAAAGAAAAAAAAATTAACAAATACATAATAGACATACAATTACAAAACCATTCACTATATGTGAATACTGTATCAAGAAATCAGCATCAAAAATTTAAACAATTGATTTATGAATGTTCAAAATGTTATATAGTCTTCGAGTATATATGATTTTAATCAGTAAATAATGATTCTTATCTACACTTGATGAAGTTTTTGAAAACAATTAGAAATTTAATATATTCATAAATAAATGTAAGTCATATACCTTAATTGAGGACAAAATTTTTATCGTGATCATTAAAAAAAAACATTATATATCATTCGATTACTTACATAAAAATTAATAGTTGTGTCTATTAAAATGAAGATGAGAACATTCCTATAGGTTCTTAAACAATGATTAAATCTAATAACCTTGTATACGTACAAATATGAGACTAAATAAAAATATAATCGACAATTTTGCATAAAGTAATGAATATAATGAAATGAATAGACTTGTCATCATGTGAAGTTAAAGTAACCTTGCTTTTTGTACGAAGATTAATGAGGAGTTGAAAACAATATGACAGTTATATCTATAAATAACGAGAGATTCACAGAATCGTTTCTATCGTAGCAGACACAGACAATTTTAGTCTGTGTTAGCTATATAAATATTTAAGTATATTTGTAGTGCATATATTGAGAGAGTGTCAATGAAATTTATTTTAACATATATATAGACTAATTGAAAACTAATAAAACAGAAATTTTAGCTTTATTTCCAGTAGTATCGTAGTATATTAGAAAAAAAAAGATTCTTTCTTAAAAAATTCATAACATCAAGTGATGGATTGTATGACAATAAATATGATATTGATAGTATTCGTTTGAAGAGAAACGATTGCATATTAAAATTACATTACGAAGAAATAATGCCTTCTGGTATTTGATATTGAAACAAAGATTAGTATATGAAACAATTGATAAATATTGATATTAACTCAAGCTTTAGCGCTTTGACGGTAAAGCCCATAAATTTACTGTTTCTAAAGTTATTCAGAGAAAATGTTCTTAATTATATTTAAAGATACATGTCATCAGTAAATCAAAATTTTATAAATGCTCAATATCTTTTGGCTTCTAAATCCTTTCCTTCTCGTGCCTCACATACAACAGACAATACAAATTATCAAAAAATTCACAGATAGATAACTAAAAGAGAGAACAGATTTATGTTCTATGTAAGAATTTGTATACTTTAGTTTGTCCTTTCTCGTATTTTATTACTATATGTTATATGGCAATTGCGATAAAGGTTCTGTATATTTTTTATATGAAAATAAGCCATATTTGTTTACAAACTAAAGGTCAATGACTTATTCATGACTGTTAATAATATCTCAAATGTTACATGTTTGTTTTCTCAAAATAAAAATCTCTAAAACGCGCATTATTCTACTTTTTTAAATGTCTACTAAAAATTCTAGTTCATTTTTTGATGCTAATACATTTCGTCGTTTATCTGTTCGTTTAATTTTAATTGGTTTTGCTATGTTTATGATGTGTTCAATAATGTGTGTAACACAAAATTATTATATATTAATATATACATGTGGTATTTTAGCTATAATAATTGAAGGTAGCATAAGTCTTTATTATCAATTTCGAGGTGAATGGAAAGATTTTAAATGGTTTTCTCCATCAATTATTTTATTTATTATAACATGTGTACCAATATTAAAAATTCTTAAACAACATCAATTACATGTTAGTCAAATATTTCGACAAACAAATATTGAATTATTACTTAAACGGAATGTGACATATTGTTTTGATGTTAAGTATAAGCATATATATTTAAATTCGATTATATTGGACTATCCAGTGTATACATTTCAATGTTCAAAAAATCGTTTAATGTATTTTAATAAAGATAATTTTCTATTAATGTGTTCATTATTAACAAAAATACAATATAATTCATGTAAATCATATAAAATATGTCGAACTAAATCAAATTTTATTATACCTCGATCATTTTTAAAAAATTCATGTTCACATTGGAGAGAATTAATAAATCGTTTTACATTAGTTGGTATTCTAAGTGATGAATTAGCTGGTTTTATGCTTATTGAACAATTACTTTTACTAGTCTTAGTTATTGTTAACTGGATATGGCCACAAACTGAAAGTTCAGATGAAATATATTTTGCTCAAATGTTACGTCAATATTTAGCTGCTGCACCTGATATTGTTGAATTTTATGGAAATTTTCATCAAGGTGAAAATTTAAATAAATTACAAGATAGAAAAAATTTACAATCTGCTATTTTTATTATATTTATTATGTCAATATTTCAATTTAGTATAAATTTACAAATGAAAATAAAACCAACACGATATATACATAAACAAGATTTTTATCAATTAAATATAAAAGATAAATGTTTAGTTATATTTGAATTCATTTTTTCAACATCAATGTGGTCAGTTATTTATATAACACTAACACAAGATTTACCATTTTTAATTATACGGTGGTATTTTCTTACTTTTATGTCAGATAGTTCAAGTAAAATGATTTTTTTCTTATTGAAAAATGTTTTAACTATAATGATATCGTTTCATTCTGGTTTCATTGATATAATTCAATTTAAAGAAAATATTCAGAAAAAAAAGACAAAAGATTAAATAAAAACTTTATTATAAAGAAAATTATAAATATCAAAATAGCAATACGCTTTTTCTAAAAAAAATATAGTGTGAAATATCTTGATAAAAGAATAACTAGTTTTTTAAGCTATTCATAGAACAATATAAATATACAAAAAGATCATATATTCAAACATATTGACCATCTAGAACAAGTAAAATGAATATATGAAAATGTTTTAGTTTACTAATGGTATCTTAAAGATGTGTAGTTTGCTTTTGCTTATACAAAATGTAGATCTACTTATTTAGGTATGCCAATAAAAAAGCTGTATTAAACAAGTTTTCATGCAAGAGATTGTAACTTTTGAATAACCATCTTGAGCGCGTAGGTGTTAGCGTCCAAGTGTATTATCTTGGACGCTAAACGAAGATTAAGTTATCTCTTCTAGTCTAACTGGCTTAGATATCTGCTCGGATAGCAGAAGCTATGTGGTTCGAGTCCCATGAGGGACATCTTTTTCTTTCGTTCCTCTCTCTCTTTTCTTTTCGATAGACCTCTAGGTGTTCATACTATCTTTCTTCACGATATATGATCTCTCTCTCTCTTTATGCTATGATATATCATATCTCTCTTCTTGTGGTATATATAGTTTCATTTTCTACTGTTTGCCACAGAATAAAAGAGCAAAACGATGTAAGCCATGCGCAAAAATAGTATTCCAGATTAATGAAAAAAACAAGGAGGTAAATTTTTGATCTTCTTGTTTGCTTCTTATAAAATTATCTTCTTACGTATTTTTAGGAAACCATCTTGAGGCCTTTCCTTTTCTCAGGAAGCGGCAATCCAAGTTCGCCGGCAAAGTTATCGCAGAGGTATTGAACTCTCTTGATATCTACAACATCAGGTACAAGTTAGAGTTCAACTACCTCGTAGCTGGTTGATACACGAAGCCGCCGGGTGGCCGTGAATTGGGCCTACGAGCAGATCTCCTCGAAGAGGTTGAAGGACGGAGCAACCAAGAATCACGAATACTGGTTGTCGAAGCTCAAGGTTAGTATGACTTTCTATTTCAAAATGATAGTTTCTAACGTGTTTATGTTTTTTCTGTACTTAGGTATGCAACATCGCCCTATCCTGAAGAAACATCACCCCAGCATTGGGGGATATTACAGCATACACTACAGTGTTGTGGATGGTCCAAGCCCGTCTGAATTCATCAAAGCCATGGTAGACAACAACATGACAACGATTCGACATGATCTGTCGAAGCTGTTGGTGAGTCTTGAGGGTG